GTTTAAGAGAAATAAATTTTTCTCTGAGTGATGGGAAAATAATGTTATTCCAGGATATGTTAATTAATATAATAAATTATTTATTGCTGTATTTTCTGCGAAAAATTTCGCAATTGTCTAATTTAGTGATTCGATATTGGGCGGAATTTTGACAGTAGCCACTTTTTTCTTCAATCACAGCGACGTAAGTTGTTTTTGTTTTGAATTGTAAGGCAGATTAATTTTATTTAACTCACTAATCATTAATAGAATTATTCGAATGGTTCAGTTAAATATCTACAACCTTGTAAACTGTTTGTCTTGCCAAATTGAAGTTCCATAATGACTGCATCAATCATCTTGACTTTATCCGTTTGAGATTGTTTTCCCAACTGTTTTTGACTTTAATGAGGTGACATTCTTATGAGACATAGAACATCATTTCGATGTATTTGCACTAAAGCTGTAGCTCGAGCTTTCAGGCAACGCGTATTCAGTGGACACCAACGTTGAGGGAAAGCTTCGGTTATCCTTTGTTTCTGTGGCAGATGTTGCTAATTTCATATATTTTGAAGTAAGTTTACCTACTTGAGGTTTTGCCCGTTTGCTTTTCTCATTACGTTGCTTCATTAGGTACAAGCCAAAGCGAAGAATATGGTTCGTTTCTCTGAGCATTCTTACGTGCTGCTTCATGGCTTCGTGGCAAGTAAGTGTTAATGTGCTTGATTCCTTTTGTAGTTAACATCATATTTTGTGCAGATACATGAATCACACGTCATTCTGTTTTGGACTTATGATCCATAGTTTTAGCCTCTGATCCTTCCGTTATTGTATTATCGTAACTTACGTTAGAGAAGGAGAAGGCAAGGGTTCAGTTTGTTCCCCATTTCTAGTTTTTCATTAACGAACCGAGTTGGTCCGGGGGGGGGGTTTGCAGGTCCATGAAAAATTCAGATTTTGCTGTTGATACGTGTAAATGCGTTTGCTCTTGTCACATTTGGTTGTCTTGAGTATTTTATGACTGCGTCAGCGAAGGCGGTTTTCACACTGAATTAATTCGCATCAATCGCATGGTATTGAAAGCAGACATCTGCTCAGTATGTTTGCTGAAAGCCTACTAAGCCTGATGAAATGATTTATATATTGTCGTTCACCGAATATAAGTTTGGTTCACCAGGAGTTTTGTTCCATTATCACAACTATATCAGTTCCGCGAAAAGTTACTATATTATGGTCCTGGTGCCGTTTCAACCCTGTGTTCAATTTCTCCGTAAGATTACCCAGTCGTCTGGGCTATCTGAAGACGAAGAAAAAAGAAAAGTAACAACAAGCGGTGCTATACACCAACTGCCGTATACATATGATACGTTTTTCGTATGCGAAATGGTTGACACTTGGCAGATCACAAAATGCACCCCTTATGAATGAGAGGATAGCTGAAGCCAGGAAAATAGTTTTCATGAAATAAACAAAGGGAAGCTATCCACAGACCCGAAAGTTAACACGGCAGAATGCGAAGATGCTTCAACTGCTGTACACATGTTTTAATTCCCTATCAGTTCATGTTATAAGAAAAAATAGTTATCACATCTGATCAATATATGCTATGTCATCGGAAAAGTCAAGGAACAATTGGCCGTTGTGCTTACAGCTGTGTTAACCATGGATGAAACGAAGTCACTTCATGGATTGGAAACGTCAGAAATAATACCAGTTTCATAGAAAATGTCGTTTTAACTTTTCTGTTTGGTTTATTTCAGACATGCGATTTATGTGTAGAAAATATGCGGTACCTGTTATTGTCTGGTGATTGACCAATATCGATGTTTCAGCCAGTATCTGTGTTTATTTGTTCTTGTTTCACCGAAGATGGGTTAAAGTGTGAATCAGGGTCAAAATGTTCGCTTTGTATTTAAAATTTGTATACTTTGTTTTTTCCTCTGTCACTTCACTCAGAATATCGGATTTTCATTCAGTGCTTTATCGTTTTTTGTTTTTCAGTTCGCTTCATTTGCGCTTTCGACGCAGGTGGGGTGCATATTCTTGATCTACTGCTTTGACTACTTAAAACCGGACCTCATGAAACGTATTTCTTTAGCGGTCTTGGTAAATGATCTTTAAACGTCGATTCTTTTGTCATCGATGGTTATGTTTTGTAGTTAGGATTTTTCGCTGCGTTTGTACTCTTGTTTGGGAACGAAATGCTACTTTCATCGCTGCTTTTTTCCAGTCTGTTGGCAGCTCAAGTAGGTACTTTACTACTGTCGTTTTTTCAAGTTAAGTACAGACTTGCAAATCTGTTCGCAACATTCTAATAGTATACGCCTCTCTCAGAACTGCACATGAAAATGGCGTGCAAATGATAGTGATTGCATTATGTCTTACCTACGCTTTTCCGTTAATGACCACTGAAGAACGATGTTCACTATCGCAGTGTCAGCGATCCTGATTTCCAGGAGCTAACAGGGCTGTTTGTTTCTGTCAGCCGGTATTATCGACCTAATTATACCCATGTTTCTTCAGGAGAGCGAAGTCGTGTGAAATTGACTTTTGCCGATTATGTATACCTTTTTACTGTATATATCATGGATAACTCTGGCTGGGTACTGCAACACATCTACAGCTCAATTTTATTTTTAATGGTGTCTTAACTTAATAAAAATTGATTTTCAGGTTGTTCTGCATGTGGAACCATTGGTGAAATTGTCCAGTCGCTTTTTTGTCTGGTGTTTCAAGGTTTTGCTGTTTTCCGTGGTTGCAGTTGTGGTCAAAGTATTGATCGGTTTTGTGTTCAATATTCGGGACGATGTAAGTCGTCTGTTTTTGTTTCAAAGTGTTTCAATACTGCATTTTTAAGGCACACATCTTCGACATTCTGAAGTCGAAGTTCACAAATTTCAGCACGTTCCATACTAGATTGTACACCTGTGCGGCAGAATTTGACTTCCTCGAATATAAGGTAATAGGTTTTTCATGGAAGCAGATGGTATGATTTAAGCAAACTACAGATTTGATGGGACTAGTCAATCGAATTCAAAGTTATA